CTCCCTCCCTCTTTCCTCTCCTCTCCCTCTCCACTCTCCACTCCCCCTCCCCCTTCCTGCCTCAATCTTTTTCTACTTCATGGACCCTCTTTTGCCTCCTCCTCCTCTTGCTTTTCTTCCTCTTTCTCTCCCTACTCCTATTTTGACCTTTTACCAATACCTTAATGCCCTTATTTATACCTTTTTTTGTTCTTACTTTTCCTCTGCTCCCACTACTCTTCAAGAATTGATTACTTCTCATCACAACTTTTTATAGGAGTTAGACTTGTAAACAGCTTCCAGTCTCAGACTGTGATATATATGATCCAGCTGATGGTGTTGGTTAATGTTTACTATTGTTTGCAATATTTTAGTAAGTTTTAATCATTATAATGCTGGTTTTCTCTCTTTTTGTCATTCAGCAAATTTATTTTCCAGACAGATTGAAATTCATTTGAGAACATAAGGCAGCCAGACAAGACCATGACCTCCACTGCACGCACGGTTGTGACAGCAAAAGAAACTTTCCAAATTCTGATGGAAGTCTCAAAACTTCTGAATACGGGTAAGTATCTTTTTTTTTTAATATTTCTCGTTGGGATATTCTACTTGTTTTCTTTCTGTGGTTTGTTTTTGAATTTGATAACTCAAATACAACTCAAAATAATAGTCTGGAAGTCTTAGTATTAATCATTTTGTTTAACACGCCCTACACTACTGCCCTGCCACCACCCTCTTCCCTCTGCCTCCTCCTCCTTCCGATTTCTAGTAACCCCTCCACTGCCTTTTCCCGTTCTTCCTCCCCAACCCTTCTTCCATATTCTTCTTATGTGAAATGTGTTGTACAAATATCTTTTCTCTTTCCCAAAGGATTGGATGAAACTACCCTGGCTATATGTGTCCGGCTGTGCGAAAGTGGCGCTAACCCTGAAGCATTGGCAAAAGTCATCACAGAACTGCAGAGAGTGAAAAGAGAAGAGACAGGCAAGGGGCAGGGGGATGGAGGGCAATGAATTGGCATTATGTGGAATAGTCAAAGAATCATGTAGATGCTCATTCACTTTTTTTTCTTTCTTGCTTTTTTCCTGAAATCAAGTTAGGAAAAGCACATCAACAGTAATGTTGACTTGTACAGGATGCATAATTTGAAGCTGATTTAACTTCAGATATTCAGTTCATTAGTTCACAATTAATGGAAATTTGTTTATTAGTTTTGCATACAAACAGTGATCTATAAATAGGAGTATCATATATGTATGGATTTTTTCCCACTCTTCCTTGTAATTTGTGTTGATAAAATATAACAGGAAAAATATTTGGTAATAATATTCTAATCTGAATGGGTTAGAAATGAAGACAAGATCTGATATCACAAGAAATACTGTTTACCAGCATTGAAAGTTGGGAAACAGAAAATCGTCACCTAGAAACATATGCAAAATCATGAAAATTGAAATCCAGACTAATCGACTGGAATATCTCTGCTGTACTTACCTTTATAATAAAGTTTGAATAGCAGTAGTTTGAAATGAACTGTTATGGTACAGACTAATAAGACCAGATATATACACATTTTTTTCTTCTGCCTATAATGCAGTTTGGATCATATATGCAAAATACAAAAATCATTCTGGGAGGCTCAGATTTAGGTATACACCTGATTTCATTACACATTCTTTCCATTTTGTTCTCTCTTTAAAACATGTATACTAAACATAAGATACAAAAGTCTTGCTTTTTTGCCCCCTTTGAAGGGAACAGTAATGCTTGTCATCTGTAGTTTAGTAATCACAAAGCAGCAATACAGTTATGTAAGTAGAGGCATTTGATGGTCTCTCAACACATATGAGCAGTTTTCTATTGTCGGTTCATACTGTATTTAAGACTAGGTAATAAAGTAATATTTGAAGTTTTGTTTTATCAAGTTTCTTTTGTATTCTTGTGCATATGAAAAATTCAAAGGCAGATTAAATGATATTATTGTTTAAATACAGCCATTTTTAAAGTCATAACATTACATCATCTTGAATATTCTGTTTGACCGAAATGTTAAGAAGGCCATCTGGGGAATTAGCTTTTGTTTCAGTCCAGAAATGGAATATTAACTAATTATTTAAAAGAATTCAAGATTCAGTGCACTCCCTCCAAATGGATTAATTTTATTTTTGCCATGCTTAATTTTTGGTATGTATATTTTCACTTCATAGAACTGAAGGAAAATCCATCTAGAAAATTGCATATATGAGCACAGCATTCTCAGTGGAGCATGCATTGTCAGTGGCAAAATTTTGCATGTAATTAGAGTGGAAAGGTATAACTACATACAGAATATTTGATGTGAACCTTTCTTGGTAGAATCGTATATTACTTAAATAACTAGCCTTTTGAAATTGACCTCAAAAAATTAATTGATAGTATTATTTACAGGATTTATTCTTTTCTAATATGATTCTGCATACCATAATTGCAATACTGTCTGTGTATGTTCCTCAACCAGGAAATTAATAAATGTTTAAAAATATATTTTCTTTCAATGGATGATATCCCCCAAAAAAGTTACCTGTTTTTTCCTTTGTTTTAAGACAAAATATCAAGCATTAAGTATAAATTACAATTTTCTTCCTTTCTTTGGATAGATGACTATATGCAAGTGATATCAAATTGAAATTGGTTAGAACTCCTTGTTTTGCCCTTTTTGAGATTTTTGTTTGCATCCTATTGGTATGATCTACAAGCTCAAGGAGGATTTTAAATTTGAAAATGACATTATAAAAATGATCAACGTATCAGATTTTCATATTTTAATTTTTTGTGTGTATTAATATTATTGGCATAGCTACTTCCAAGGCACAAAATGAGACCATTCCCACCTTCATCAGTCAAAAATTGAGATATAAGCTGAGGCAAGACAGCCTACTTGGCACCTCAAATATACTAACAATTTTCAGAAAAAAGCTGGTCAGAATATTAGAGAAGATTGACTGAACTGGTGCATAAACATTTCTCCACCTCCTAATAAAAATGGATATGTTCATGCCCTTACTTGTTTATATTTGAATTATTTGTGAATCTAACAACTTGGATACTAAAAATATACTATATGCATTGTTACCTTTTATGTAAAAACTGCTTACAGTATTATCCGATAGAAGATGATACTGTGCGGGAATATTTATTTTGGACCCCCCAATTCATTGCTCTTTGTTGTTGTAGGGGGCTTAGGAGACAAGAGACTGAGGCCCAATGTAGGGGATCACCCTCACCTTGGACCTCAGCTTTCATCTCAATTAATTTTGCATGGTCTTTTCTTCTCCTTCTCTTCTTCCTAGTCGATAACTCGTTTTTACCTTCTTTCTCTACGTAATGCTATATGACCTTTGATGTCTAGCACATTTATTTGTTCTAGCCATTAACAATTCTGGGAATCCACAAGCATAACCTTATGAACAAGAAAAACTTCCTTACCCAAGCTGTATTTTGATTTTACTGCTAATGACCTTAGATGTTGATGCAACAGCAGATTTTAAATAAATTAATAATAATTTATTTTGGATCAAAGAAATAGAAGTTTTCACTTCTTGACAATTATTCCTTACAGTCTTTTATAACAAAACTAATAACAAATTAATTATCTTGATCAGAATCATAACATTTCTAAGGGGGAAAAGAAACCACTACACATTTTCATGAAGATATTTTTTATTATTGTGTATATATAATTTCTGTACAATGTGGAAGTTGGCACAAGGCCACTGGATTCTGGGCCATCATCTGCCCTTATTCCAGTTACCTATGATAGACCCTCTAGAAACCAGAGGAGACAAAGACATCGGTAAGAGAAGGTATAAACTTAAGGGGTATTCAGGAAGATTTGGGTTCAAAATTTTATCCCATGGGAGTCTGCTACAGCAGGTGAAGAAGGCCGGCAGCTTGAGGTAAGATGAGACTGACACACCTCGGGCGGTCTTTTAGGGAAGGAGACTAGGAGACCAGACGCAGACAGTGACAGCTCAGTAATTATATTTTAAAGATTACACAATTTGGACGCTCAGGCAAGAGTGGTTGGTTTATATAAAGATTTAAATCAAACAGGCTGAAACAGGGGAAAACTACTGATTCTTTTTAACAAATGCAAATTAGAATGAGGGGAGGGTGGACAAAGAGGCTGCCAGGGATACAAAATATAATTTATCTATGAAGACCCGCATTAATTGGCTCTTCTTGAAATAGAAAAACAATATTAGCAACAATTCTCTCATGCATTTACAAGAATAGCACATAAAACACTAATGAAAGTAAGACATTAGCTACACAAAACCTACACAAAAAAAAAACAAGAATTATAATACAAGTATATGTTTACATAAGATAAACCGAAGAAAAGAAAAGCTGCTGATGTGACTGCCTTTGGAATACATAATGGAGTGAAGCTTATATTTCAGAAACAAACAGGAACATGTTTCATCTAGCCACAACATTTACACTATTTCATACTGCAAGATATGCAATATCTAAGGTCATGGCTTCAATAAAATGTTATATTCATTACAGCTTTTTGGATTACATGTATTCATTTAATTCATGCAAGTCAACCTCTTTATATACTGAAAAATATTAACTGCAGTTACCAAAAGATGTACTTAATCCCTCAGAGAATAAATATATATATATAAATGTATATATATGTATATGTTCAAAATTTTGTAGATTTACATAGGACCCAGAAAAGTCGCCCACATTTTTTTTTGTATATAATCGCTACTGAAGCATCAAGCAGATGGAAAAGACAAATACATACTTACTGCTGAGGTCTATACCATAATTCAGTTCTCTTTGTCTTGATGCTCATGTGTTGACTTCTCATTTTAGTGTAAGTACCTAACTTGAAACGTTTTCAAAGGTACATCCATAACAAATTGACAGTGATTAGTTGAAATAAAATTCTCATCAGTAAGACATACTGTACGAAAACAGATGACAACAATTTAACTATTTTAACTTCACTAATGATGGCAGAAAGAAGAAAAGTGCTCAGATATAACTGATACATCTTTTTACTGAGACCAAACCTAAAGATCTTTCTTTAATAATAACTACTAGCGCCACTCATTAAGAAAAACAGAAAGAGCATTTGCACTGTTTCAATACCTCCCCAGTCAATTACCAACACCAGAAGTTTCTAGAATGTTGGGATATATTTACAATTCAGCAATAGAATATTTGCAACTGATATCTTTTACCAGTCCATAAATTGGGGAAAAAAAGAAAAAGAAAAAAAAATTATATACCAATTCTTGATTTCATAGTCATAAACTCAAATAGTATGTTTATAGGTAAGGACTAAATAATATTCATTTGTTTGTAATAAATAATTGATACATTTACATTATCTAGCAATATTTATAATAAATAATACATAGTCTAAATCAATCTCTCATAAACAACAAAAAACAAATTACAAGAGATATACTCCTTCACACTAGCAAAATCAGACATCTGGGTTTCATAAGAGACTTAACTACACAGCTTACATAACTCCTAGCTCTTGTCTGAATATTGAACTGCAGTATCATCAAATCTTTGTAAATATCATAATACAAGATATAAAGGTCTGGTCTCAATATTAATATTCCCTTTGAAAAAGATTTTCAAAGCATGGTTGGAAGTACTAGAACCCCTCAAAGTACGAAGTTTGTGGCATAATATAATAATATGGATGGATCTATTTTACATAAAATGAAATCTGGCAGGCAGGTTAATGTGCTCTTAGCTTTTTACATATAAAATTCTTTCTTCCAGCTGATTACAATTCTTTTTTTTTCTTCTTTACAAGACCCATAATTGCACATAGAAACATTAGAGATACTAGTCAAAGAAAAGCAAGGAAATTTTTCTTATGCACATTATCAAACACTTTAAAACATAAAAATAAATTGTTACAGTAAAAATGGTAAAAAACTCCTGCCCATCCTACAGCCACAAGGCTCTAGGGACAGTGTTAACATCTTTACAAAAAATACAAAAAAACATATTCAATGTACAATATACACTTTTACACATTTGGTTTCATAACTAACTGGTCAAAACATAAAGTCAATACCACCAAGTACTTAAGCTACTTGTTTTTTTTCCTAAACAAACAGAAAAGCAGTCAGCATTGACCAAATAAAATACTTGTTTCTTATCTGTAATTAAGTCGATATAGGCCACTGACAGAGTAAACTCCATCATGCTTAAACACTGACTATCAATGCTGATGCTTGGTGATACTGCTGGTGTAACTGGATGACCTTTAGTTACTGGTACCATGTAAATGTGAGAGCAGGTTTCTTATGGGGGCAACCCATGCCAACTTTCTGGCTATGACCAATAGCTGCAAGCCTTACTAGCTATCTGCATATGCTAGAAATATACATGGTCAAGCTAGTTAGTTGAATACCAACAGTAACTAGGTTCAAGCTGATTCTGGGCACCTCTCCATTACTGTCCAATGACCAGCCCACATTGTAGCACCATTGGAAGAAACCATCATTTTGCTCACCACAATACATGTAACAAGGAATTTCCCTAATACTAAAATCAAAGGTACTTTACATCAATAGGGACATTAAGAAATATAATTTCATATTCAAATGGAAATATTATACTAATGACTTCTTAAGTCATGACGACTGCCTTTACCAGTTTGACTGGAGGCATGCAGTAAAGGTCGGTGAGAAGGCCGTCCCCCTCGACACCGCCACTTCATCAGCACCGGCATATCACCATTGTTCTAACATAGCCCAACCGTAATTAAGGGTTCTGTGAACCATGGCAACATTCATTAAGTAACAATCTTACATATATAATAACACTAAGCCTCCTTTCAGGTGCAAGTGGGGTAATGCTTAACAAGACAGGTGGCCACTAGCGTCGCAGTCGTCATTGTCGTGTGCTCAGGTGGGTTGAGTCTGACCTCTTTGGTGGAGGAGGGGGAGGCTTTTTCCTTCCAGGCATAGTCTGTGAGAGTCTGTTTAGGTCCTCAGCATGAGGGGGGGGTGAAGGTTGCAAGGTATGGCTGGCAATTGGTCTTGGCATATCTACCGTGTCTGCACTGGGTTGGGGAGGTGAGCCATGAGGAGAAAGATTTTCATATAGGCTGCCATAATGTTCCTGGATCCAGGCTCCTACATTACGTTCTGTTTCACTAGGAAGTACAGGATCTCTAAATCCTAAAACTTCATGGGGCATTTTATCAAAGTCTTTACACTTTTGTGCTACTTGCCATTTTTTCTGCATAACTCTTTGTAAGCTGGTTAGGAAAGATCTTGGCGGAGTAATCTTATTTCCTGGACTGTCTAGACGCCCTGGATTTGAGAGTCTTGTTGATTCAGACCGTCGTGGAAGGGGAGGTTTTGTCGTTGGAGATTCAGGCGCTGGTGGAATATCCTGAACATCATCTACGAAGGTAATCCTCTTGACTTTCTTCTGTGGACTCCTTTGTGGCTGTGCATAAACAGGCTGGTGTGGTGGAGGTGAAGG